AAGTGCCTCACATCTGCTGTGTTACTGCGAACCGCATGTGAAACACAGATTTTAAGTGTCTTAGGTAGTTTAAGGACCTCCCTCTAAAAAACATTTTAATTTTGTCAAAGATTTAGTGTGAATCTTGGCTGGCTTCACAACCGTTCTTTAAACAGCATGTTAGGCTTTAATAAAAATTTGAAGTGATTTTCAAACCTATGAGTTTCTTATACAACAAGTTAGGCCAATAGCCCAAAGTGGCCTCTTATGATAGACGGTATTATCTAACCTAACCACAGAGAATACACTGGCATGAAAGTTGCAGTTCAGTTGAATTGAACTCTAATATTTTTTCACATTATAAGATTTATTATTGGTATCTTTCCAATGCTATATTAAAAATCTACTTATACTGAAATCAAGAAATTAATAATTTTAGATTAAGTTTTAATACCGAAATTGAAAAATTAATATATTTTTTTAAAAAAAATTTATATTAAATTAAATTAATAATAAATAAATAAAATTAATTAAATTACTCAGATTTAAATGAAAATCACTTAGAAATTAATAAATCATTCATAATAATAATATATTTTATATTATTAAACGTATTATCATTTATTAACAAAATATCATTTTAATTATTCATTCATAATAGTAAAATATATTATATTATTAAAAGTATTATCGTTTATTGTAAAAGTATTGAAAGTTCACGAAAGCAGACATGCCTCCACAAAAATATCTACAATTTTATTTTTTGAGGTAAATTCTCTTTCTTTTACTTTTTGGAGTTTTCTACAGTGTGCCAAGCAGTTTGGCATACACCAATTAAAATGAGTGCGACAAATGGTGTTGCAAAAAAGCAAAGCATGCTTAAAACTAATTAAAATGAAAAAGCATAACAAGCTTCTCATTAATATCGTCTACCCATTAAGTGGTTAATTATAGAAAAACGGCGTCTTTTCAACCACAGAAACGACGACGTCGACGATGACGACGACAACAAGCAATAAAAAGCAAGGGAGCCAACAAAAAATGAATAAAAAGCGTACACAAGCCACAGGCATATATACAAATAGATATACATATACACATACACATTACGACTTCAGTTTGAAATGGAAGTAGTGAAATTAAAAAAAAAACTGAATACCAACAACAACCAACATACAAACAAAATTATAACTACTTGCATTTATTACTGCAAAGTACCTATGTGAATGTGTGTGAAGAAGACTACTGACAATAATAACAGCAACAACATTGAAGTACTGTGACTACCACAACGACTATTGAAGCTCTCCTTAATTTGGCAAAAGAAAAGCTATTTTATTGCACTTCTCATACCAAACTCACCTACACACATACATACATAAACAAACACACACTTGCATTGGTACAGTGAACGTTGTAGTTCATTAAACAGAGTAGAAGACAGCAACGGCTTAGTAGCATTCATACTCCACTCCTATACTGTCCCTATCAGCAACAAAAACACAATACAAACAGTAGCGGTAGCAGTGGCAGTGGTAGTGGCAGTGGCAGTGGCAGTGCTTATGCTAGCAAAAACCAACACAATTACCTTCACCATTAAATTGAAGGCAGATGACACTGCCTGCAATGAGATACGTTTCGATGCGAATAAACCGCAAATTGGATGCGATATTAAATTGCCTGTGCAAAGCGCATATAAATTTTGTTCAATTTAAACAATTTGTGCAAATGGAGAGCAAAACTGTGCTCGAGTACGAGTATGAGTACACGTCTGCGCGTATAAACGAGCTGGCAAGCAATAAGCACTTTAATAATAAAAGTATGAACAAGATGGCGTCATCTCATCTACTAACTTATGCTAAAGGAGGTGGTATGGTGTGGTGGCTGTGTTGTGTGGGCTATACTATGGTGAGTCTTATTGCTGCTGTTGTTATTATTGTAGTTGTTCTTATTTTGTTATTATATGGCGGCCCTTTTTGAAGAATGAGTTTGCTAAGTAGCTTGGTAAATGTTCTCCTCTTTTAAATTGCATATAATATTTTTATATTTTCTTGTTGTTGTTTTTTTTATATTATTTGTAAAATTTTCTTTTCTCGTTTTTACAATGTTTTCGTTTTTTCGGACTTATTTTTATTATTATTTTTTGTTTTTTTTTTTGTTTTGGTACTTTGTGGAAAATGAAAATGGTTGTCGTTATTGTTCAGCTTCAGTAATTCACTAAATGCAGTTGTACACAAAAAATGAATTATGAGTTGATGTGAATCAGATATTTAAAAATAGTGTTGCCATTAAATGTCGTTTTTTGTGTGCCGAGAATATATGAGTATGTCAGATTATATGTGTATTATATGTCATTTATATATGGAAAATAATGTAGAATTTATTTTTTATGATATTATAGTTTCAGTTGGACATTATATTATAGTTCGTAGTTTTTTTGATTATATGATTATGTTATATTTCGATTACATATATATGTGGTAATGTAATACATAAAATTGTATTTTTAAACTATTTTTATATATACTAGTATAAGTAACGTATGCGTGGTATTTGCTGTAATACATGTGTAAATAAATTATCAATCTGATGAAAAAAAGCTATATTTACTCTATTGAAAACGTTTTTATGTTTTTGAGTTCAAGAACTGAGTTCTTAAAATCGAATATTTATAATTTTTTGTATGAATATAACCATTTCGCTTGATTTTGCACCTGCTTAATAAACCTAGATAATCAAAAACTTGCTAAATTGTTTACTCGGATCTATTTAAATATGAATTTAGGTGCGATATACATCAATCCAGCAATTATATTAGATAGTATTTAAATAGAAAGCAAAAATGTATACCCAGTTTTGTGTTAAAACCACTTTTGAGGATCTCTTTGTGCCATAGCCAATGTAAAATTTTCTTGCGCTCATGTTATGTAGAGTCATGGACACGTCAAATTTGAAAGTTTTGTTGTTTTAAATGCTCATTTAGAAATTAAGAATGAGAGAAACAATAAAATGACGATTTCAATTTGGTCACGTTGGTCAAATTAATGTTTCTCAGTAATAAATGTTAAAATGTTCGCATATTAGGAGTATATATGCGTATTTTTGTATATACGTATTTGAATATGTACTTATACATTTTCCTGTATTTCAAAGTATAAAATATAAAAATAATAGGTATAAAAAAACTTTTAAATATCACTTAATTACGTTTTCTTATTTCTCCTTTATTCTCTTTTTAAAAACAAAAAGATTATTTAGAAAATGTTAAACAGTCCATTAAGTAAATGTTTCAACGTTAGCTCATTAACATATCCTAAAGAAATGAATTCTGCTTTGAGTTGTAATTAAATTACGTTTAACAAAAATTGGCAACACTATAAATATATTCGCAGTCTTGCATATACGATTAACAGCCCAACGCGCCCCATAGAGCAGAGCATAATGTCGTTAATACAACTACAAACGCAAACGTTTACTGCAATAACAAGCCAAAGCATCATAGGCACACACACATGTACACACTCTAATGCCCAACAAGTCTAAAACACTAAGCGAAAATGCCTTCCAATAAGAAAAAAGTTTGAATTCCGCTTTGAATTAAAGAAAACAAAAAAAATTCTAAAATAAAACCAAAGATCCATTTCAGAGCCACCCAAGCATATAAACAAACAAATTTTTCGCTAAATAATTTGACAATTACTCACATTCAAGTAGGCAGGCAGAGACGTAAGACGACTGCATACAACTAAGCAATTTTAGTATTAAAACATGAAAGAGTAAAAGACAGCAGCAAACCATAAGTGAAGGCGCAGAGAAGAAAGTGGCAAAAATAAAATAAAAATATAAATAAAACTAAAACTGAAAATAAAAGAAACAAAAACAAAATAAAACACTGAACACTGCAGACTGCACAGTGTATATGCGAAAATGAAAAGTCGCCTTGGAACACACCATTACATTTGCTAACGAGGGGAAAACAAATTAAATCATTAGATTGTGATACTGATCCTTTAGACTTAAGTACCGAGTGTAGTTATGGTTGTGTTAGGAAAACCGCTTAGACTATATTGCCAGCAAGCAAACAAAAAGAAGCTTTAACAGCGGGCGAAGGGCAAAGCCTTCAGATATTTATGCTACTCATATAAATTACAACGATAATTTCTGTCAAGAGTAAAATCTTGACAGAGCCATTAAAAAGAGGAGGAGTTAAAATTTTTGCTCGCGTAGGGTGAACTGAGCATGTACTCAAGCAACTGCTCAATCTGTCTCATTGTGTAGTAATTGACTCAACAGCTGTTGTCCAAGTGGGCGTGCGCTCCATTTTTTTTACAAGCACAAATTTCTACTTATAACGGATAACACTCACTCAACCCAATGAGTTGCGTTTGCAATTAAAAATAACCAAGCAACCACCACCATTGATGCTGTTCTCCTACAGCATCCAAGCATCGGTAGTTGTGTGTGGCGGGGTAGCAAGAGTGAAATTTTTCTTATTTTTTCTTGTAGTATTTTTATTTTGAGTTGGTTCAGTTCACTTGCCGCAAGCACGGTAAGTTGTCAACACGATTGATTAGTTTGTGTCGTCGTTTATCGTGTAAAGGCAGGCAGCACACTTTTACTCTTTCCGTTTGAGTCGAATGGGAAAAAAATAGAAAAATCTTTGTGGAAGAGATTAAATAAAAATCAACCCTCTTCAGACATTATTGGTTTGCGCGCGGATTAGACAAGATACGCACTGCGGATGCGATATCAGTAACAGTCGATTGGCTGCCATCGAAGTGAATAGTACTTTGAAATTATTTAGCGGAAAATGCTGAAGTGTGCGTAGTAAAAGAAATCTACAACTGAACTTACTTCCATAAAAAATTAATTTTTTTTTAATAAATTATGTTAATTAAATTAATACTCTGTGTGCTATAAGTGTTAAAATTAATAACAAAAGGATTGTGTGAATTTTAAAAACTTGTAATTCAAACAAAAAAAAAACAAGCCCAAAAATAATTTATATAATACCAAATTACTAAACAAACTAAGTTTTTTTACTTATGTGAAAATGGTGATGCTACAATCACCGGTGAAAACTACAGATTCAACTCAAACAGCAGCTACCGTCGGTCAAATGAGTCCAAAGTCACATCCCGATTCGCCAAAATCGAATACTTCTCCTGAAGTCCAACATAACATAGCCGGCGGTATATCGCCGACAGCTGTCGTCAATTCTCCAACAGCAAAAGCAACCAAATTTGTCCAGAATCAACAGCAATTGCCAACAAATAATGTTGTGGCCTTACAGCAAACACTCAAATCAACTGCTACCAATGAAGAGAGTTTACGTTATTCACTGGAATGCCTCAAACAAATGACCGACAATAGTAAACTTAACAGATACAGTCCCACGACTGAAGATTCCGATAGTGAAAAATGCATTAATAATAATAATAATAACAGTTCCAATAACAATAATAATAACACCACACGACGCTCGCAATCACCAGTTGCGTTACCAAATTCGCAACAACGTAAACTACTTGAACTTGCTAGTGCACGACAGCTGGCACGTCCAGAACCCCTACAACATCCACACGCTGCACTACTGCAGCAACATCCGCACTTGCTACAAAATCCCCAATTCTTAGCAGCAGCAGCGGCGCAACATCACCATCACCAACAACAACAGTTACATCATAATCCACATCAATCGCATCATGCCTTTCACCTGCGTCCACCATTTCCAACTGCAACAACTACATTAACAATACCAATTAATGCCACTCCACCCTCACCGGCTAATTCACCACTGTCCCCACCAACATCACCACTACAACCACATTCCGAACAACTACAACAACAACACCAATTGCTTTCACCTTCCGCAACCCAACAACATTCCACACATCCTTTACTGCAAGGCCACCCGCAGTTGCTGTCATCGCCACCCTCATCAATGCTGCTGACCTCACATACCCAACAACAACAACAGCAACAACAACAACAAGCAACCGCAAACAGTAGTCCCTCATCAACAACAATACATGACATGGATCTGGAACGCATTAAGCTGGTTGCGGCACAGGCTGTTGCACGCAGCACATCAAGTGTTGCTGCCTGTACCACCGTGTCCACTCCGGCTTCCATGACAGCGAATGCCGTCTCAGCCTCTGGTCTTTGCTTGCCACCAACAAATCCTCGCACAGAATTAAGTGATTATGGTTTTAGAATACAATTGGGGGGCTTGGCGGCCGCTGCGGCGGCAGCTGCCGCTACTTCAAGGCAAATTGCGGCTGCTAATTATGCGCGAAGTGATACCAGTGAAGAGTTAAATGTCGATGGAAATGATGAGGAAAGCAACGATGGATCCAATGGTACACCATCAGTAAGTTTTGCACAAATTAATACATTAAAGAAATTCCATTAAGTTCAGTGTTTATGTGTTGAAGGAGGAGACGGAAGCATAATTGAATTAAGTAAAACAGAGTTACTAACAAAATAGTAGAATAGAACTGATATATCTTTTTTAATTTGTAATTATAATTTATTAATATATGTATAACACAGAGCTATAATAAAATATTATAACTAATGTTAATTTCGACTGACAAATCTAGATTTGCTCTCGATCTGTCATTTAGATTCCTGTTCATGTTTAGAGATATGTTTAGACAAGTCAGTACCGCTTAAGAAAAGGGATGGAAATAACCAAAATTTTTTAACTAATGTTTAGCTTTTTTTGTCATATTTTGTCATATAAACATAAAATTTGAATTATTTAAAATACCAAATATATTTCAATTGTCAAATAAAATAAAACAGCTGTTAATTTCACTGTCTATTTATTAATCTAACAAAATATTTAAAGTGTTATAAATTAATCTTGAGTGTCATATATTTTGTCTCCAATGAAGTATAGAAATTGTATTAAAAGTAAGTCTCGATTGAAAAATTTGCACTTAATTTCCCTATCGAAACCGACATAAGGGATAAGAAAGTTCTTCAACTATGTTTTCCTGAAAACTATGTATAATCTGTGTATTGTGTAGAAAAACATAAACTATAATATGTAGTGTATTAATACACTGTTGGATTTTTATATCATACATAAATTATAACAAAAATAACATACAATAGTATATAATAGTATATTACTTAATTTATAGTAATATGTGAAGTTAGTTATCAGAGCAGTTTAGAACAAATGTACTATTAAGGAAATCTGTAGAAACAATTGATACCCTAGCAAGTGCAATACAAATAGGTAATTTGAAAAAGATCACAGTCCCCCAGTCACACTTAGTTACTACAGGCATCTTTAAAAATGTGTCACTAATTAGAATCGCTAAAGATGTAGACTTTACAGTTTGTACTCAGTTCCAATCTGGTAAACATAGCAGTTCCAAGTAGATCTCAGTTACTACGGGTTTATTTAAATAAGTACTACTATAGCTAATGATGAAGGAAATTATGCGTAGTACGTAGTGTCAGAAAGTTGAACATACCAATTGAACTTAAACATGTCTACCTAACAAAAGATTATTGTCTATAACACATTAGTATACATATACTATATATGTATTAATAACTGACTTAATATTACGAACGGTACAGTGACGTTAATACTAGGAATACTATTATACTATTAATACTATTAATTAGTTTTTTTGTAAAAAATCGTAAACAAATTTTTTTTTTATTAGTTTCTATTTTCCTATACAGTCATCTTTCAAATCGTTATACTGTTATTCTCTCTAGCTATTCTTTATAAATTCATCAAATAATAAGATTTGTTTAGATGTATAAAATAAACTTACTTTTTAAAATTGTTTTATGTCCTTATATCCTAAATTTGTTTTATAGAAGGACTGTGACTTTGTAGAACAGTTTATCTTCTTTTTCATTATAGTTATATAGCATATGTGTACCCAAGCAATATCCCCATAAAAAAGACTACATAAGTATCGTCATTGAACATAGTTAAGTTCTTTATTTTCACACTTTCTATGAAGCTGAATCTTCCAGCATAGTTTATTATTCTTACAATTTTTTATTTTGGTAGGATAGTTATAAACTCACGTTTTGCCCATGGAGGAGCAACCAAAAATTTATCTGACTTGCACAGAAAAATATCCATTGCATGTAAAACTATCCTCATTCGAGCAAAAACTGTATCGTTCTTGTCGATAGTTATTTCAATTTATTGCTTCTGAAAAATAGGCAAAAGTGGATCCTTAGGATCGTCGGTGTTAACTAACTTAAATTTGAAATCAGTATGTCATATGATGTGTATATGATATCATATGAAATGTAAAAAATCCAAGGTATAAACACATTTTCAATTTATTTGGCACCGATGTATCAAGATACTATCCAACACCGCTTTAATATTTTTGGTTTTGAAACCTTTTACGACATATATAGATTACTGATCACTCGTAATGTTTGAATTCTTAGGAAAAAAAATATTACATCAAACCCGAGTGGAAGTCTACTTTTTACAATATAGAAACCATATATATTATTTTTCTTTTAACCATTTTTATATTTATAATAAAATCAAAGAACAGAATGCATGGTTACTGTGAAATAAAATATACTAGTAAAGATTTAATATATTAACATTTGAATACTGCTGTATAAGAGCCTAAAAATAATTATGGATGATGATAATACAAGTATATGAGAATTATATATTTAAAAATGATAAAAATTTAGCATTGTAAGGTATTGTTGTCTAGCTCTAGCAATATTTCTTTTTTGATTCTTTTTTATTTTTTTTAATTTTTCTTATGGTGCTGTTAGCTAGCACTTTTAATGATGTTTAATGTTAATATTGATTTCGTTTAACCATTGCTTTTACTTTTATCTATGTACTTTTGTTCTTAGGTTCGTCTTTGATTCTCGTCTAGATTTTTGTTCAAATTTTTTAAATATAAAATAAATATTTTAAATAAAATATTATTATCGTTTTGTGTACGCTTATTTATTTTAACTTTGTTGTTATATATGAATACTTATATGATCAGTCTTTTCTATTTTAATTAAATTATTTTATTTCAATTTCTTTTAGTTTGTTTTATTTTATTGTTTTTTCTTCTTTGCTTTGTTTCCTTTTATTTTGTTTTGATTATGTATATATAATATATGTAACATATGTATATATTTATAATATTTATTTTATTTTCCTTAAGTTTCTTATATACAAAAATTCCGTTATAGGTTTGTTTGTATATTATTCCTATAAGTTCTATTTCAGTTTTTTATTTTTATTTTATTTCAATAATTTAATATTTTTAATTAAAATTTTTTTTTGTGGTTGTTTTTGTTTTATTTTTTGTTTTAACAAATTTTATCCACAATGATGTCTTTTAAATTAATTATTCTATTTAGAGTTTTATTTTGCTATTTAATTGAGAATAATCTTATCATTATATGTGTATATTTTTTATATTATATTAAATTTTCTAATTTAATTTGTTTTTATTTTAGTATTTAGTGATTGTTCTTTAATTATTTTTTTTTATATTATTTTGTAATATGCAGATTATTTTATTCAACTAATTTTATTTCTTTCGTATTCTCGAATATCATATATTTAATTTTAAATATTTTTTATTTTTTTTTGCTTAAATTTTATATTAATTGTCTAATTAATAATAAAATTTTTTTTTGGAATTTTGTGTATATATAAGAAATATAAAATTAAATATGTATTATTATTCCATAGATATGTACATTAGATACAAATTTATGAAAATTTATATAAATATAGGTTGAGTAATATTTAATAGCTTGTTCTGTGATATATTTTACATTTTGAAATCACAAATATATATATGTACTATGTATAGCAAAATTAATTTTACTTTATTAATTTATCAAATTAATTTTATTATAAAAATATAATAATATATTTATTATTATAAATATAATATAATAATATATTTACTTTATTACTTACATATAACTTTCAACTTCAAAAGAGAGTAATACTTTTGTAAAATATCTCAAATAGACAATCATAACTATATATTAACATATTTTATATATAATACATAATTCGTCCATTTCTTCTTGAATTTTCTTTTGCATAATCATTAAATTGAGTCCTAAACATAATTAAAAATATATATATTTTTAAATATATATTTTTATTTATTATTTTATATTATTTATATAAAATAATAATACATACATTTTATAATACATACATTTGTATATATATATTTTTTATCAAATATTATATATGATATGTATTTTTGTCATATAACTTTCAATTACAAAAGGTAGTAATTTTCTTAAATAGAACAACACAACTACATCTCTATTAAATTTACGTATTCAATTTTTAAAAATTATCATTTTTTTAAATTATATAAAATTTAGAAAATATTTCTTTTTAGAAAAAATCTTAATATTTAATTATATAATACATTATTTTGTTTACAGGTCTGCCCAGTTGATCTCACACGATCGGTACCTAACACAAAAGCAACACCCTCTACCACAGCAACGACACAAAGCGAAAAAGAAACAAACAAACGTTTAGCATTTTCAGTAGAGAATATTTTAGATCCAAATAAATTTACGGGGAAAAATGGTGTACCAGGATCATTTAATTCGTCCCGACAATGGAGTTGCAATAGCAGTAATTACGATCGTGATGAAGATATGCATGATCATTTAGATGAGGAACATAGTGAAGACATGTCCGGTAAGTTCTAAAAGTCACATAAAATAGATTTATTTAAATGGAATTAAGTGCGTGTAGTGAAATCCAAAAATATTCAGCTATTAATAACATTACAATATTATTGCCTTATACTTGAAGTGAAGACATAATAATTCATATAAGATCTAATTAAGATCTAATTAAGAATTTTATGCAGAAAAATTATATGTAATTGACGTATAATTTTGTCTTTTCTATAGATATGTTATAGAGATAACAAAATCTATTACGAAGAAGATAATGTTGAAATGATGTATTAATTGGTTTGCACGAAATGCGGGTTTTCCTTTAAGATTAGACTGACGGTCGAAATTTTATTGTGGAAGAGGGCATTAACTTCTGACAATTTCATTTTGAAAGCGTTGGATTGTGCCAATACAGTTTTTGTTCAGACATTCTATAGTTATATATCATATGATAATTGTTCACTTTTCAACATTTATATGGAGATCACAATTTCTATTATGTAGACGGCATTAACCGTACCTTAAGAGTTGAATTATGTCAGTACAGCTTTTATATTGACATATGTTGAATGACCAAACTAATTTCAAAATTTATTGTTGAAATAAAAAAATATATGTTAACAATAGCCTATGTTAGCTATAGTAATATAACTTATCTCTATTTAATTTAATCCTTTCGTAAGTATAATAAAAAAAGAATTTGAAAATAAATAAAATGGCACTTAAGTAATTTCTTATTTGGGTAGGTGTCTTCTTATGATACCCTAGACATCTTGAAATTCGTTTGGTTCCTAGGTCACTTTATTCTAGAGTTCGCAGTTACCTGTTTTACAGCACTCTTTTCCTATTCATCGTATTTTCTGAAGACTGGGAATATGCGCCTTGTGTTTTTCAAAAACATTAACTAGTTATGTAGACACACCGTCTTTGTGAGGAGTTCGGATACTACAGATGCATATTCTTAAAATGCGATCGTTATAATAATGTCTAATGTGTCGCATTTCAGCGTTTTTAGAGTTATTGTATATGGTGAGTTCCAAGTCATACATAAATTCATGTGGTTATGAAAGACAGGGAAGATTTTACTGCATACAGTAGTTAATTATGCAGTAATCTAGTTATGGATATTAAATTTACCAATTTAAGTGTAATCTCTTCTCTTTATCGTGCTCTCTCAATGCGGAGTGCTTAGATTATATTTCTCATATTTGCTAGCGGGTTTTTCTTTAAACAATGTCCTAAAAAATTTTTGAAATGGCTCTTTTTAACAAAATTCTTTCAAAAAACTTTGATCTAGTTGTAATTATTTTAGGGGTATATTATTTCAATTGCATCAACCTTATCAATTATTTTTATTTATATTGGAACGAAAGGATATTGGGAAGCAAAGCTGGTAGAAGGAATATACTGTTTTGAAGTTTCATGTTTTTTTACTAATTTCACTTCACAGCTATATGATATTTTTCTATCTTGATCAAAATACTTATTTGCATGTAACGTAACTAACAAGACCTTGCAATTTTTCGCTCATTATCTTTTTAAATGAGCACATAATAAACAGATGAAGTTATATGGTTAAGTCAAAAATATCTAACCACTGACAGTTGTCAGTTTTATCTGAAGAAGCAAAAAATAATGATGCAGATTGGCTTCACATTAAACTTTATTTATTATTACCTACCAAAATTTGAATTAGATGAAGAAAATAACCAACTCAATTTTTCGTTGGTTACTTCTAGAAATAGAATGTTTTAGATTTTTTACTTATTTATCAGGTTTGCAAAAGGTAGAATAAAAGAAAGTAATCAATTATTTGAAGTAGAAATTTCTATTACAAAATTTAATATTCGTTTATATATATTTGACTTAAAATAAAAACCAAAAATAGAATAAATTTTAATATCAATTTGTATTCGACCAATATATAACGAAAAATAAGTTTAAACCAAGAAAAAAAATTCTGGTGCTTTATTATTTCATTTAATTTCTACTAAGCCAAATTGGAAACGACGTTTACCGAGCAATAGCAAAAATGCGATTTGTGGTCCTGAATTTGTCTGGCACGTTTCATATTAACAATTTAGCAGAGCACACCAACTTGCCAGCAATTTTAATCCTTTCTAAATAATCTCTTTGAAGCATGCATATACACAATATTTACAATAATAATAACAAAAAGTGAAATAACAAATTTGAAATTAAAAAATATAATAAATGAATTCATAGGAATTCACAGCTCAAACCGAAACATCAAATCATTTTCAATTTAATTGAAATTAGAAAAAGTAACCAAAAATTGTAACAAAAACAAAAAAAAAAAAACTCAAAATAAAAAATTCCGGATCCAAATTTGTACTGCAAATGAATATAAAGTAAAATCTGCAATTCCTTTTCACTGAGTTCAGTATTCACACCAGCTCACACTGGTGCGTGGAAACTGTTCAGTGTAAACACAAATAGCAGGGACGGAACACATTGCGTATGAGTGTTCCCTTTTTCTATTCCTATTTTCTATTTTGCATGGGATCGTATGTATCCCTTTTTGGATTTTTTTAGAGTATAATGTTAACTTATTCCTAGCAACTGGTACTAGGATATTTTTCGTTTTTTTTTTGTGTTGTATTTGTGTAGTTTATTTTTGTTTGTTTATTTGTGGAAAAGATTGCAGCTTTATGGTATGTTTTGATTTTGTAAGTAATGGAAATTTTTTCCCCAAGCTTTTTGATGCAATTTTTTTCCATAAGATATTTCAGAGTTCTATTACAATATTTTTGGTAACTAGTATATCCTTTTTTTTTTTGTATATGCACACTGGATATATGTCTCGATGTAGGTTCTTTTGAAGTTATGTGATTGCTTTGTGTGAAAACATTTTTGTATGCCATTTAAAATTGTATTTTGGACGTATTTCTGTTTTCGGATGTGAGTTTTGTTTGTGGTCATTTGTATATTAAGCTTTAACAATATTTCATTAAAATTTAAAATTCAATAAAAAAACATATTTTTATAATTACTAAGGAAAACTCATGTATATTTTGTAAATATGTAGTTATAATTGCATTGAAAATTTCTAATAAGAAAATTAACATTAACATTTCTTCCATGTTAGAAACATTTTAAATTTATTGTCACTGTTAAAAATATTATTTTTAATGATCTTCAACAATTCGAATAACAGTGGGTTGAATATTTTTCAATATGTAATATATATGTATTTATGGAATCAATTTTATTTGTAAATAATGAAGAAAGACATTGTTAAGATATATAAGTTATTAGAACATAATTTCATTTTTTTTGGACTTCTTTTATGTGTCTTCTTTATATTTTAGGTATTATTTATAATTTGTTTTTAAATTTTGATTTGTTACGTCGAAAATATTTTAAAGTCGGTTTTGTTTTTGAAAATTCTTAGCTTTTATTTGAATCGTTATTTTTAATATATTTCTATACGTATTTCGGCAAATTCGCTTTCGCCTACATCAGGAAAATTCCTAATAATAATAAAAAAAATTAAAATTCTTAAAAAACAAAACCAACTTTAAAATATTATTTATAATTATTTTTTGTATTATTATATATGACTTTTATATATAACATTTTTGCATATGTTTTAGTTTGTCATAATTATTAGAAAGCATTAAATATGAATTAAATACATTATAGACAAGTTACCTATAAATGTTAAGTAAACAATATGTTTTCTACTACCTCTGCTAAAGCTGTATGATCTGTTAAACTTTCTTACAGTTATTAAGGCGTGCTGTACATTCTGAAAGTAAAACTGTTAATCTGTTAATTCAATCGAAAACATAGAAGATATATTTCAATTTATAATACAGGAAATAGCAAGATAATTGCTATGTATCTAAATTATAATGTATTCAGAGCTCAAACTATTAAAGTACATATATAATAGAGCTTTGAACTGTAAATAAACTGTAAACCAAACACAAATTTGGATAACTAAGATTTTTAGAACTACATATTAAAAAAATTTCGATTTAAAATACAAGACAGAACAAGACCTTTCATTTATAAAATTTTTACAAATACTTAATTCTGGACTTTGAGCAGGAAATCAACCATGACCCAAAAAAAAAACCAAAACCTGAAGTATTTTTTTTAAAATTCAAAAAGTTATTTTTATGATAATATATTTATATTTATAATGTCAATATTATATGATATAATTATGTATGTGTATATTCATAAATACTATATTTCAGTTTATGTGCTTTTTTGCATATAAATTATTCAAAAAACTAAATTAATTTTTGATTTTTTATACTGAAATTAATAAAACATTATATTACCAAATATTGCTATTAGTTGGAATTAAGTTAGGCTAGATTGAAGGTCGCCTTTGAGTCCAAAAGTCGACCGTTGAACGTAAATAATCACGCGTTGTGATACCATGGATTTGCTTTCTTTGTAGGCAGAATAGAAAGTCAGAGTTGAAAGGCACGCTTCTTCCATTTAAGTGAAATTGTACCAAGACTTTAAATCTCCTTCTATCCAATGATAGACATTAACACATTAGTACAGTTCTATGGAATACAGTTCTTCTCTTCATCTGCAGATCCACAGTCACGACAAAAGTTATTATTAGTTGAAATTAGTTTTATAGTTTATTAGTTTATATTTATTAGTTTTATATTTATTTATATAATTAACGCTAGATTAATTTTCATCATAACATATGTTGTTCAACATAATTATTTTTGTTATAACATTTTTTTTAATTTCTTTCATGCTAATAACAACTGAAGTGTTGTTACTTCACATTTCACACAGTAATCAGCTTATTTGCTTTAAAATTAATTATTTTCAATCAAAAGCGAAATCTTATCGCAACTTAACATAAGCTTAAATGTTTACTTAAATGCGAAAGCCTACTTTGCCTACTTTGTCTGCCCTTAAATAGCACACACATTTACACTCACTCATATATACTCGCTGTAAATGCTGCAAATGTTATTCGAAAGTTTATAAACACAATGGCGGCCATCATCA